CACGAATTTCGACGACGTCCTCCTAAGTGACGTCGTCCTTGCGTAAGGTCTCTAATGCTGGATGTGAACGACTGGAAGACTGTGAACTGGTCTGAGAAGGCCAGGGAATATCAGAACTCATACATTTGATCAGAAAAAGAGTAAGTATTTTGTTATCATCAACACAAGCAAATCAAATATTGTGCATGAAGATCCGTGTCACTCTATACTCTAACAGACACTTAAGGTATACATGTAAACCCTCCTCTACATATAAAAAATCATTTAAAAGAAAAAAAACAAAACAAAAAACTGACATCTAACACAGATTCATAGTCAAGTTTAAAGTCTTCCTAATTCACAATATAACTTGCAGTTACTAATGAGATGGCTAGCTCAAACAAGAAATTCAGGTAGTTCAGAGTTAAAGCCACCTCAAAACATTTACCAGCTACAAGTGCCAGCTCTTGATGATTATATATCACTTATATAGCCAATCCAGTTACATGCATGTACTCACTTGATGATCAGTCAGTCAATTATGTTCAATAACATTTATTCTAGGATTTATACCTTCCTGTTTATACTGATTCTCCATTACACTTGACCAGATTCCAGCGTTACAGGATGTTAACAGAATTTGCTGTGAACAAAAAAATGGCTTAAACAATATTGTCCAGGAGAAGAGGAATAAACAGCACCAGGAGCTGAGATCTCTCTTTGCTTTTGAAGTGAAACAAATCATTACTACCCCCTCAACTCTCCATTACCCCACTCCTTCTTGTCACTTTTTGCCTTCTCAGTTCGCAAAAATTTGTGACATATCAAAGCCATCATATGCTGTAACTTTTTCAGGTGTCTTTCAAGAAATACATATATATGACTTATTAACAACCTATAAAATCCAAAGTACATGTACCATAGGTGTATTCCTATTATACTCAAATAAAATGCAGTAATCCAACCTTTATGCTTACAACAACAAGAACAACAAAAGACCAAAAAAAAATCAATACAACAAACAAACGTGGGTTTTGCAAAAACGTAATATAAAGGAAACTATTGATGTATTTTTTGTGTGTATGTGTGTTGTCTAAGATTGAGAATTCGAAGGGCAATAAAAAAGCAAGATGGTGAGGAGATATGGAGAGGCATATACAAGTGACGAGCCTGATAAGTTGCATACTCAATAAAAATTGGTAGAGAGAACCCGGCACTGGTTATTAGGGCACGATCACGCTAGAATTGGAAGAACTGGGATCTTGCTATTCCTGGTGCGTGAAATGTACGATCCTGCCATTCATTTGACAAACGAAGAATACCTGGCCAAAAATACCACCACAAAAAAAATTGATGTACAAGCAGAAATAGAAGAGCTTCATTTGTACATGATTGGAATGTGTGGCAGTTCAGATACTGACCAGGTGCTTTCCATAACAACAAGAAGAGAATGTCTAAGAGATCTGTCAAAAGAAGTTCAGATTCAAGATGGCGAAATTAAGGATACAATGAGATTTATGAATGGAGATAATCCAAGCGTTGAGTTTGAAGATGGAACTCAGAAAGGTGACCATCGGGGTTGTGTTGGCTGTGATGGAGAAATGAGTAATTCCTTCGACTTTGAGTAAATGTCACATCGCAAATACAAGACACTGGAAGAAAACAAAACCTTGTTCTTACTAGTCCTGAAGGGGAAAAAAAGGTGGCCTTTACACCGCAAAAAAAGCATTTTTTTAAATGAGTTAGATTAATTCAAAATGAGTTAGATTAACTCAAAATTTGAGTTAACTCAGGAATTAACTCAATATATTGAGTTAAGTTACTCAAATATTTCTACTAAAATTTGTCAAGTAATATAACTCACAATATGTGAGTTTATTTACTAGGTATTGAGTAAATTAACTAAAAGTTGATTCTGTCATAAGGAATACAGGGATGAGGGATGATTTTGAGATGGGCTTTACCAGCAAAGGATGCTTTCTGCTGGGATATTTTTGCTATATTTGCTACACATTATGTAACAGTATAAAGTAACACGTGCACTATGACAAGACATAGTACACAAGCAATTGACACAAATTCGAACAATATTAAACAACCTTTACAAATCGATCCATCCCTAAAATGGCCAAAGTACATGAATAAAACACCCATAAATCATTGAAATACCCAATAACTCTTTGATAATTCAGAGAATCTAACTCAAATGTTGAGTTAAATTACTCAATCGCATTATGATATCCAAGTTGGTTTCTGAGTAATTCTACTCAGAAAAAAATGGAGCATGAATAGCACCACAACATAGTTGAAACAAAAGTAATTATTTTTTTTAATAATTTTTCTTTATATTTTTGCAGCCATTTTAAGAAACTTTACTTTCTATTCTGCAATATACTATTTATCATGATTTTTTCTGTATTATTTACATGCATCAATATAGCAAAATGTAACCAAAAATATCATTACTGCATAAGATCCAATCTGTATTTCAATGTCACGAAGACTTGGTTGGCATAGCAACCAAATCCCTTAACGAGACCAAGGGGGTAATAATCTAGAAGCTCAGATTGCTTAATATATCTTATTTCGTTCAGTTGCTGAACTTTAAAAGCATTTAAATGACAGACAAATTCAGTAACATTTATTTTAAGGTACTGAAACCAAACTATGTGTCTCTCAACAACCAAAACCTTTTGGATCTTTCCCAAAATTGGAAAGCCATGGTGGTAGTCAATTACAATAACATCGCCCTTTACGTATTTGGTTCCATAAACTTTAACCCAGGATGTGCGTGTCAGTGAACTGTCGCCTTTAGTTTGGGGGTCTGCCTCTTGCAGCTCATCTTCTACTCCTGCTTCTTGAACAGTTGTTACCCTTCCAACAGCTAAAAAGTTATATAAAATATATATATATATTAAAGGAAACTCTCATGATTTAGCCAATGACATTGAACATGGGGTTAAATTAATTTAATGCTTAGGTCATTAATTACTGGGGGGAGGGCTGGTAAGTTTAGGGGGCTTTGATTTGGGAAGGGCCAAAAAATTTTGGACCAGCATTTAGGGAGAGGGACAAGGCTTTGATTTGGGGAGGACAAGATTTCTTGGGATGAAGGTTTAGAAATTTTACTGGCCCTCCCCCCCCCAGTAATTAATGATGGCTCCCTTACCAGGTCCAATTTCCAAAGACACTCTCAAATAGTTGCCTTGTGAACTTTGCATTCGATAAGTCTGAAGGGCTTGATGCCTCATAGCCAAGGAATAGGTGATATTTTTGAAATTGTTGATGTTGTCTACCAGCTTTTTAAAGTAGTTATGTTTGGCCTCGAACCTCATGGCCCAGTTTCTTACTAGGGGACCATTTCTGTAAATGGAAGATTACTAGATATTATTAAAAAACTCATTAATAATTCATAAGCCTTTGGGCCAACTGGATACACCATACATATTACATGCATGGACCTTTATACTCGATAATGTCCCCCTTTAAGTCCATCTTTTAGATGAACCTTTATATAAAAAAAATTACCTTCATTAGTATTCTTTATATAAAGAACACTAAGACAGATGACTTTATCTGAGAGGAAGTATATGTCCATGTTTAGATGAAGACTTAGAGCCTCATCAAGGTCTCATCACACCCTAAAATTCCAGATTGCCATGTATAGAATATTGAGCATGTGGGAGTTTCTTTTAGAGCTACTCGCACATGCCTGTGACGTCAAATATCTATTGAAGTATGAAAGTCCATGTATGGTGGCTCCAGTGGAACCAAAATCTTATAATTATGAGGTCTAAAAACACTCGGCTGCACCTCATGCTTCTAAACCTGATAAGACATTATTGCTCATTCATTAAACATCACATAAAACTATAAGTAATACTGCATTATATACCCATGTATAAGCTGCACTGCAAGTTTCAGAAAACTTAAATAATCAGCATGATGAAGTCTGAGTGGGCTAATAATACATATATTGAAAGGGTATGTAAAGTTATGAAAGGTGGATAAAGTGGTAATACCCTTCCCTAACCCCAGTAGTACAAAATGTACAATGCTTACAATTTCAATATAAAAAGACATACTTGATAATTTGATTTGGGTAATGCACCATGTAATGCTGTTTTGGGATTGGAAGCCGGTCATTGAGGTTGACATAGTCCTCTAGGTACTCCTCTATGAGAACTCCAAGATATGCAGCCAGCTGTGGTGTTGCTTTAGGAGCAAAAACAATTTCTTCAATTTTCAGTAGTCGCAAAAAGTTTTCCCAGTGCTCATCATTTTGTGGAATCAAGTCTCCTATAAGTATAGGAAACATTCTTGCCAGGCACCACATCCGAGCTGCTGGTGAAAGAAAGAAAAGAATATGAAATTATCATGTACTTTTAGTATACAACAAAGCCTTTTTATATATATTTTTGTATATTTCTTTTTTTTTAAAATATAACATAATATATAATAGTAATATGTAACTCAACCATTGCAAAACATCATTCTCCTAACCTGACTGTGAAATCCTCATTGAATTGTTTGCCAATGACTGCGGCTTTATAGGACTTGGTTTATTGCTAGCATCAGATTGAGGATACCACAATCTTTCTAATCTGTCATTCACAATTTCAAGTGTGAAATAATTTTCCTCTTGAATGTACTTCTGTAACAGAATCTTGACTTCTAGGGCAGCACTCCCTCAAGTTGGTCATGCATGACATCAAGAACAAGTCCATCAGTAATGTGGAAGTAACGGGACTGGTTGAGAACACTTCTTGTTTTTACCCCATAAGTTGCTTCTAGATTTGCATCATTTTCTACAAGCCGGCAATGTCTGTCATGGATTGCTCTTGTTCTAATTTGAAAATCTGCTTCTGTAAACTAATATCAATGTGACATTCACAATATGAGTTGTATAATAGTATATTCATCTCAAGTCCATGAACTTTGAAGTGTAGACTCATATTAACACTATTGACACAGGGTCTGATCAAAAGTCTAAACTTATTTGTAACAAAATTTAGAATGCCGGTAAATAATCTTTTACACTTGACACATTGAATAATGACCAAAAATGCATGCACACTACTACTACTACCTTTGTGTTAGTGTCTTCTCTAGTTGCCATACAAATTCTACAAATCCTTAGACCAGAAAAGCTCTCCTGAAAACCACCAAGAGAATGTGCCCCAAGATTGTCACTTGAATAAGGTCCAATGGAACCACTGAATGTTCTTTCTTGTTCATCTATCCAAAATGTTACACCTCTATCCTAGGAAGAAAACAAATACATATTTTTAATTAAATTATAAATTAATATTAATGACAATGTGCACTTAATTATTTTTATATGGTTGAACTTACATTTAGGTGACAGTTAAGTGTATGCTACAATATACTTACTGCCTCTAGTTGATGCAGGTCTTGCATGAATGGCTGCAGTATCCTATTCATTCCATACTTTTTTATGAGCGGTACTCGGCACAAAGCAATTAGCTGAATTGAGTTGATAACAGAACGGTATTCTGGACTAAGATTTCCCAGATTGAAGTAAAAGGCTCCTGATGTTCATAAAAAAATCAATTTCAATGGCAATAGTCATAACATGTTGTGCCAAACCAAATGCATACCTCAAACAATGTTTTCCTTTGATATTTTTCAATTCTGCTTTAATTCTGCTGACTGTTTTTACCACCTATTTATGTTTAAGGTATTTGGCTCAACATACTAGGTATGACGTATGAATCAAGGCTGAACCTTCTTTAGTTTGGGTCAACACAAATGTGCTATTGTGCAGCACAACAGAAGCACGTCGTATGAACCAGACCTTACATTTGCACTTATTTTACACTGCACATTTGAGGGAACTTACTCTCATTGCATGTACGCATTCAATATTTTGATATTGAACAGGATTGAAATTTAGGATGGTGGATGTTGCATGTCAAACCTCATAAACATTCATAAGTGAATAGGATATCCCCAAAAGATCAGTTTTTAGAGATTTCTCAAAATTTCCCTGCCAGATATTGTTTAAACATGACAAACATGCAATTAATATCTTGTGGATAGTTTGGTTGTAGTTTTGTTTTTTCATCATCTGCAAACACACCATCAACAAGCACACACACACACACACACACAAAAACAGGAGATTGTCAGTCAATAAATAATAATGTTCATGATAATTATTAATGCTAACAGCAACCTAACAAAACACGTAATAGTTTACATGCCTGTAAATACATGATTGAAAAGCATACCTATTTTATGTTTTTTTGTCTTTGATCCAAGCGGGTTTGTTACTTGAAAATCATCATAGTAACAATGAAGAAGTAGTGCATTACCAGGTTGTCCAAAAAGAGCATGCATTTTGTACTGTTCACTATCACAATAGTCTCTTAGAATTCCATCATTTGAGGAATGACCATTCATAACCTACAAAAGTACCCAAATTATTGAAATGTGCCACAAGTAATTTGTTATTAGAGGGACTGTCATGTAAAATAATGGTATTGATTCAATATTGTCAACTTCAAAATGATATCTAAATTGTCACAAAAACTAAGAGTTTTCCAAATCACCACACCCAAGTTCCTCCATAAAAACATGTAACCCATACACTGAAGTGTTTCAATATAACTATTAGTGCAGTTTTCGTATGACTGTGAAACGTTCACGGCATGAACAATGTCATGGGAAGGAGTCAGCCAATTAAAAATCTAGAAAACATCACGGTCACTGCAAGACACGCACTCCTCGTCCAATCAAATGCAAGAAACATGGCACGAAACACTGCACGGACACTGTCACTACGCGGACACGGCACTGCTTAGCCAATCACATCGCGCAAAAAAAGAAAATCCAGCCAATTAAAATCCTACGTTACGACACGACACGTTCACGGCACTGAACTTTTCACAGTCATACGAAAGCTGCTCTATACAGGGACTGCACAGCATCCTAACAAGTGTGTGTGTGTGTGGGGGGGGGGGGCGCTAACATCAGAAAATGCAAACCTAACCCTACCCATCTCTGCAGTTCCTGTTATATTCCCTGTTCTACATACATCAAATAGGATGCTTACCTCACATAAAACATCTGCCTGATTGAGCAAAGATTGTAGGGTTTTCAGTATCGAGATGTAATGAAATGTTTCCTTGACCAGGCAGAGTTTTTGCTTGCCTTGCAGATAGCGATATTCAGCATATTGATTGAGGATGACTTCCTGTGGCTCCTATATATATTAAAACTCATATCAGCATAATAATCAATATATTTATATTATTTTGGTAATGCATGTGTTTATAAGAAGGCTAATTAAGATGACTTTAAAGCAAGTTAACACAAGTGATAAAATACATTAATTTGTCCCATATCTTCTAATCACATCTATTAAAGCCTGGACATAAGCTAAGGACTTACCACAAAGTTAAAATTCTCAACAAAGTACTTCATCTGTTGGTATTCATTCTGCAAACGTTGTTTTGCTTGGGAGTAGATACTTGGCTCATCAAGTACTCCAGATAGGCCCTCAACATCAGCAATTTCTATTCCACTGCTTTGAAGGCATGCCACCACTTTGTTTTTCATTTCCACTAAGCTACTGTCCACTAGGTCTCCTGTATTATCAAGAATAGCATTGATTGTCTGTTGGCTTAGTTGATTTTCTTCTTTGGTTTTTAAAATAAACAGTGCCAAGAATCTTGTCATATCGTCGACGTAGTTTGTGTCTTCATTTGAATCGTTGTCTTCTCCATCTTCTTCATCAGAGTTTTCATCTTCTACGTCTTCATCGCCTTGCTCACTTACGTTCGCAAAATTTAACAGTGCATTCTTCTTCTCTTCTCTCTGGATATGGGATTTGAACGAATTGAATTTTCGAAATGACTGGCCGCATTGTCTGCATGTGATGCTAAAGTTTGGTTCATGACTGTGAATAAATTTGATATGATGTAATAACTTTTTGAAGCTTCTACCAAGAAAACTAGTACAGTATGGACAACTATGCATTTGGATATACGGAAAACCTTCGATAAACAACGACGCGCTGATGAAGGAGAACACAGAAAGACCCTAATTCAATGGCTCTTAAACGAATGTCTGGGTGCTGACCAGTAGAAACGCAGGCTCTGGGAACGAGATTGGAATGGTAGTAGGACAAAGTTTGAGACAAATCAACTCTTTTCTTATAAAAATATTTATAATATATTTCATTACAACGTAGATATTATTTTAGCCGTCTTTATTTAGGATATATTGTATGAATGAATATTTTCCAATTTGAGTTTCCTGTTGTTTTGGCGCTAAAATTTAACCTCGATGTGATGAACATGACCATGTGATAGTGGCTACCAATCAAAAAAAAAGGGCGCGAATGTACGAGATAAAACTCTTGTTCTCCATGAATGCTTTCTCTCACGTAGTCCAACTCTTTGCATTGCAATAGTCAAGTGAGCTCTTTAGCGTTTTCAAAAAGATGGCAAGTTTCCCGAAGTCTGTGGACGAGGTTAAGCAGTGGATGATACAAAATGGGTTTTCGTCCCACGCTTCTACCTTTGAAGGTAAGCTATAACTAGAGAATTTGTACAATATTAGGTTAACCTGAATTTCAAGTTTATTCGTACAAAGCTCATTTGTTGTCCTTCAGTACATGCTTAGATCTGAATTTTAGGTAGAGATATAATACAACGATAAATCATGTATTATTTTAGTTTATTTTTGTGAGGATTTCTTTATTTTCCAAGGTTATTTTCCTTGAACTTCGCGCTATCTGTACCATGTACGACCATGTACACACTCTGGTAGGATCTAGAGAGCATTACCCGTTGTATTGCAAATCGGTGCCATTTTGAATAAAAAAAAAAACTAATTCATAAGGAATCCAGATGAACAGTAAAACCAAAAATCAAACTCGGGTTTTGGTGATTAAATATTACGAGGAGATTTGGTTGATCTCTTTCCAATGGAAAGATTCTTGGTTTTGTTCCAATGCAAAGATTCTTGGTTTTGGCGGGAACTTCGGTACCATTCATGCTATGCCGTGCTAAGCACACATAGATAGGTCTTGCCTAATACCTAAGTACAAAACTATCAAGCTTTACCCCACATTCTTTCATATTGATTCCAATTGCTCTCTTTTTTCTTTCATAAGAGAACGAAATCGATGGCGAAGCAATGCAATGCTTAACGGAGAATGCGTTAGTGCAACTGATACCTGTGGTCGGCCCTAGAATGAAGTTTATCAAGCAACTTGAATCTTTGAAAAAAAACCTCCAGGCCCGAGAGTATTGATGTAGTTGAAGAGGGTACCCCAATTGCCAATGAAGAAATGGAAGTACAAGACAGAATTCCAGCTGATACAGAAGTAAAAGCAAGGTTTGAATCTTAAGTTATGGTATAATATTGTGCTACATTATAATACTGGATCATTATTTCTATGACTTGCTTCAACAACCTTGATAACTTTGTTTTTATAACTATTTTTGCAAAACAATAGTTTAAAAAAATAAAAGGTGCGGTCGGTTTATAGCCTTAGATCTTACTTTCAGTGCTGAGCCTCTGCTTTTGTGTAAGGTAGTTTAACTGCCTTTTACCATTACTTTACTCAATTGAGTATACATTCGCTTGTAAGTAGAGACTGTTTTGTAAGATACATAAGGACAGTATAAATTTGTTTTGTGCCAACATGGTTGCTGTGTAAGGTGTTTTGTAAGCACCTTTTACCAGTATCTCTTTTGAGTGCTATATTTAATAGCGCTCATCAAAGAGGACAGAAATGAATTTATACTATTAAAATTTCAGAAAAAGGAAAAGAACTCATTCCTTGACGGCTAAGAGAAGACAAAGGCTTGCTCGCAACAAAAGGAAAAGGGAAGAAAGACAAAAGTCAAAAACGGGACTTGAATTGCTGATGAGTGATCTAAAACAGAAAAATCAGAATCTGCATGAAGCAATAGGAGTAGAAAAGAAAATGAAAGAAAAGTACTTCGAGATGTGGAGAGCTTCAGAAAGGAAAAAGAGAAACTAAAAACAACTAAATGTGTATTCCAGGGATGTGCAAGGAATAATATGAAAAATAATACTTCTAGGGAGCTTTTGCAAATCCAACCAACAATGCTAGAAGATCTTGGACCAGATGATAACCTAAGTAGTGGCAGATTTGGAACTGTGTGCTTAAAAAAATTTAGATCCACACCAGTTGCAGTCAAGTATTTAGAGTCATCTAGTGTTAAGGAAGTTCAAAGGGAAGCTTCATTTTTGGACAAATGTTGTCACATAAATCTCCCCATTATATTTGGGGTAAACACAATGCAGAAGCCTTATTTCATAGTCGCAGAATTTTATGGTAATGGATCGTTTAAGGCCTTGACACTAAGAGAACTTTTACATAAGGATGAAGAACATATTAAATCTTATGTAAATGGTCCAGAGTATTGGCTTCATTTAAGTTTCCAGATTACTGATAGTATTTGCTATTTACATACTATGGGAGTGCTCCACAATGATATAAAACTGACAACATTGTTGTTTCTGTATCACCTGTAAATGTTATCACACCTATCTTAATAGATTTTAGTAAGGCCACACTGATAAGTGAAGGGAAGATTAAAGTTCTTACTGCTGCGGAGAAGGATCGCTACCGCAAAGAGCACATGCAAATTGCCCCTGAACTCATTGAGGGAACTCATCCCCAATCTGTTAAGAGTGACATATATTCTCTGGGAATTGTTTTTTTGCCAGTATATATAAATTTACTAAATACACACCCATAAAAGAATTAGCAAAAAAAAGTTTAATGCCCTTTCAAACCAGATGTACATCATCAGAGATTTTAGCAATTCTAATGGATCTTATGAAAGTCTGATTTACTTTTTTAGATGACTTCAATCTGATTTGTTTGAATTTGTTTCCATCTTACTTGGAGTAATGTTTTATGCCATTATACATATCAGCCATTGATAAGGTGTTCAGGTGTCATTGAAATGATATAATTGTTTTGCTTCAAGATGTCATGTTTGTTAAATAAAAAGTCTATTTTGATCCATTCCTTTCTGTCTTTAGGGACATCCATTATCTACAGCTATATTTTACTATTCATACAGAAAGAGGCTGGAATTTGATAACAAAGTTAGCAGTCCCTGCCCTGATGACAATATAGTGCTAAATGCAAAAATGCTTTGGCCAAGAGTGTTAACACTTCCAACCAGTTTCCGACTGGATGTTACTAGAACACTGGCAAGCAAGGAGAAGCAGAACATCAATAAGAAGTTTAGAAGAGAGTTCATAGGCTCAATATACGATCATTTTGCCCGCTACACTTTGTAAGTATACTTGTTTGATATATGTTTACCACTTTTTGATTGATGAAAAGCCATCAGGAATACATTTTATTGTGGTGTAGGGAAATGCTAAAATTGGCTTATTGTATTTTCATCAATGAGATCTTATGTTGAAGAAGAAGGTACTGGTATTAGGTTACTAATTATTGTACATTTCATTTTATTTTTTGGTTTGTGAATTGTAGGTATCCCACCAAACATCAACTCACATCTATTTGTGAACTAATAGTCCAGAAATATCCCTTCCTGAAAGATACCTCAATTGGTACTGGATATGTAAGTACCGAATAAGTACTCTAAGGTTTTGAAACAAATGATATGTTGATATCTGATGCTGTTATATGAAAACATGAAAAAGTTTGCTACATATCCCTCAAAAAAGTTTTCATATCGAGGCCTTAAAGGTTGATCATGTTCACTAGTAAAAATGCAAACCATATGTGACCTTGCATTTTAGCTTATTACATGTTTTTTCATGACCTATCCAGAGAGTTTTCCAAATTGCTGACTGATTCAATGATCTAATAAAAAGGTAATTTGAACATTGACTCCCACAGTCAGAGAAAAGTCAGAGAATTTGGCATTTTTTTTTTCAAGGTCGGGGAATTTTGATTTTGGTCAGGAAATTTGCAATTCATCAAAATAGGGAATTTTTCTTTCATCTTTGCAACATCTTCTTGGTGATTATGTTTCCAAATGAAATTTCCCAAATATTCCTGGTGTCCTTCATAACAATGACTAACTAGAAGTGTGCCATTGGGTGATGGAAAAATTGGTTTTGGTTTTGGTCTTGGTCAGGGAATTTAACTTTTTCATAAGAGTGGGAACCCTGTTGAATTATGGCATGAAAATAATACTACAGCTACTAGAATGCTGGCACATAGTTTTTTTTTATTTTGATTTATTACTCCTTGAGTAGCTTTTGCGAATACTAGGAGATCAAAAAGGAGATACAAAAGAGATTCAAAATCTGAAAAGAAAAAATATATGTGCAGAGGATTCTAGTACTGAAATGTCATATAAATGCAAATCATCTATTACATCAGAGATAATTGATTTCAATACTATTTCCAGGATTCCTGGTACGCTAGTCTATACGAAAAGTTCCGTAATGAGAGAAAGTCTATTAAAGATGACCCGGAAGTAATCCTCAGGAAAAGAAAGCCCAAAGAGAGTTCCAAAAGTGTGTGAAAGCTAAGCTTCGCAGAGGAGCCATAAACTGGGAGCCACCCTTTCCAGAGGGTGAGGATGAGGTGTCTCTACAACGACATAAAGATTTTATGAAGAGTGAATTTGAAAAAAGGTCTCCAGATTGGGCAAAGATAAGCAAACGAATGGCACTGACTTTCCCCAGCAGACGGAGACTAATGAATGACAATATGAGCATCAAGGAAATAAAAGAACACTACCCTACTCTATTTAAGTTTGAACAGGTATGTTAAGCTATATATTGTTGTCCTTGTGAACTATGAGTATGAGCAATCTAATTGTGTTTTCTCTGTGTCTTTCAACAAGAAAGTTGTGTAGAAGAAGGATGAGTTTAATAAAACTACCCCCACATTAGGGTGATTGGCAGTCTGGTTGTTCTGTCAGGTCAGCACAATTTGCTGCCTTGAGTAACTGGGCAATTCTGGGTGTGTTGGGTGATATGCAGACATCCTATGCTTGCAAGATGTGAATGTCCTCTCTTACTTCATATGTTAACAGAAATATAGGAATTATTATTGATGCTATTCAAACCTTTGTTCCTTAGATACTGGCTGAATTTGAAAGAATTTTGGGTCTAAATTCAAGTGTGGTGGATTCATTCAGGTCTAATTTTCAGCAAGTCACTGACCCGATTGTAAAACTAGGAAAGACAAAAAATAAGAGTAAATCAAAAGAAGAAATCCAAACGTTCCTGCACCTCCTGGAGGATGATGATAATGACATGAACGAAGATGAATCAGAACCAACAATTGGTAAGAAATATAAAAGAAAACAATATCTTATCATGCGAGCTCGTGCTTTTCCCGTGTATAGACCTAATCAGAATCAAATGCAAATTGCCCATTTCAGACAATGTGATGTTTACAATATCGTCTCTGGAGAATAGTTTCTTTGTTTTTCATCACATGGTCTGAAATGGGCAATTTGTATAGTCAAGTAGGTCTATTACAACCCATTTTCAAGTGCAGCAACAGCACATGCTCGAAAGGTCTGTCCTTTCAAACGTTTTAATATTTTTTTCAAATTTTTGGGTATCTGATGTCTTCATATCATATTATAAACAATTTACTACACTGCTAGTTTGTGTGTTACCCTGGACAATCTTACTCCTGAGCTGTATTTTTTCTTGCACCGGAAGGCTTAAAAAAATACCGTCGCTTTACTAAAATTTATTCAGTGTTAACACAGAGCAGTGCAGTAAACCTCTATATTACTTTGGATCACAAATATTAAAGGGCATCATACAATTAAGTAAAAAACAGTGCAAAGATTAAAACTAAGCCAGTTTTGATGAACCTGGTCCAGTGTAAATACCCTAATTGTAGTGAAATCAATCTAAATCTTTCAATTATTTCTAGAGGAACAAGCTGAAGTGGCCATGGCAGTACTGCCATACCTTCTTCTGCCAAAGTCTGGCCTTATTTCAACAGATGACTTTGTCCATTTCGTATTTGTAAGTATCATCAAATTATATTTATTTCTGAAAGAATAGTTAAAATTAATGGTTCTAGCATCTCTATTTGATTGACAAGATTACATTATTTTAGGATTTGGGTGCCACTCAATTCCAACAATTTCATTATTGAACATATCGGTACATACAGCTTGTTAAGGTGACTGGCTACTTTTGGAAATAATGTTAAACTTTTTTTGAAACTACAATTTTCCGAAGTAAAATTTAATGCTTTATTTCAAATCTGAAAAGAAAAAATTGGTGTCCAGAACTCTTTTTGAGATAATCAGCATTTAATGGTAGCCCTACGTACGAGTTTTTGGCAAAAAAAATTGCACCACACAAAGTGACAAGAAAAAAAAGTCATAGTAGATAACATAACAGATTTTACAGCTAAATTATTATTCATATGATAGCTAGCAGTCTAATATAATTCGAACATTAATTATGACCTATCATATTGTCAGTCAAAAAGGAGGTGCCAGAAATCACATTGGTTATAGTGGTTCCCGAAATTCTGCGAACTCATTAGTTGCACATTTGGAAATAATTTGGTTTTTCATTGCAGCTAGTCAAAAATATAAAAGGCACCGACTGATTATCATTGATTGACAGAAGCAATAGATTCAAGAAATTCTCGTCAATAAATTTGACAAGCTGTATTTTTTTTAAAAAAACAAATATTGTTTTCAAACACAATAATTATTGACTCTGGAGTTTTACTTTTTTTGTAGGAAGATGAAGATATTGATGAGATCGTGAAGATTTCCAACAAGCCTTTTCCAAGAATTGTATTTAAAGGGCAGCTAAGTTCCCCCGACGCTATCTATATAATAGCAGATCAGCAAGTGCTATGCAGCTCAACAAACACCACTCTGTTGGAGGCCACAGTCTGTTTGATGGCATGTTACTATGTGTTCCTTTATGACTATCCAAGTGGCCTCAATAACTTCTATTTGTACTTGCAAAAGTGCATATTGCAACTTCAGGATGGGAAGAAGCTACCATCCACAGTAATTAATTTTG